CTAAGTGCCTTGCTAATCTGCTGAGACTGGCTTTCAACTCCAGATCCTCCTGTGCCTCAGCCTCCCAAGTTGCTGTCATTACCAGCATGTGCCATCATGTTCAGCCAGGATTAGTTTTTTATATTTGTTTTTCATTGAAACATATTTCCACATTAATCAATTTTCTTTTTTTCTTTCTTTCTTTCCTTCTTTCCTTCCTTCCTTTCTTTGCTAGGATAGAACTCTTATCCTTAAGTGCTCTACAACCAATCTACATCCCGAGCTCTTACGTTTACTTTGAGGCAGAGTCTAGGTTGCCCAGGCTGCCTTGGAACTTGTGATCCTCCAGTCTTAGTCTCCTGAGTAGCTGGGATTACAAGTGTGCACCACCATGCCCACTGATCAAAACCTTTATTGGCATATTAAGACATAAGAGAAGAATTAGCATTTCTTTTTGAATGTTTTTTCTTCTTATCTAGAAGCATGTAAGAATTTTCTATGTAATTTTTTACTTATTAAAAATTTTGTAGAATTATAATATATTTTTACATTTTATATAAATTATTATGCTTATTTTAATTAAAGTATTTAATGTTATTTTGTTGGGTATCTGGAAATTTACATTTTCAAAATAATTACATTTTTCTTTAAGGTATGGCAGATTGTGCCTTGGCTCTTGGCTTTGAGAAGATGTATAAGAGAGGTCTTGAAAYAAAAGTGAGTTTCACTTATTATTTTGGAGTTTTTATGAGAAACTTTGCCCATATATCATAAATAGAGTCTGTTAGTAAGCAATATATAGCATGATTTGTCACAGTTATTTAATAAATGATACAATCTAAAAGCTGTAATTTTACCATATATGTACACATAGACCTTGGTATTTTTGAATAGTAAAGAATCTTAAAGAGTTATTTAGTTCAAGCTCTTTTTAAATCAATGATGAAACTAGTGTTCAAAGGGGTCAAATTATTGAATTTCAGGTTAATTTATCTACTTAATTTGAAAGTCATTCATTCATTCAACAAATGAATTCCATTCAACAAATTGGAAAGAGTTTAATAAAGCATGGGACTTCTGGCTGGGTTTAGTGGTATACATGTGTGGTCCCAGTGACTTGGGAGGCTGAGGCAGGAGATTCACAAGTTTGAGGCCAGCCTCAACAATTTAGTGAGACCCTAAGCAAATTAGTAAGATTTTGTCTTAAAATGATGCTTATGTTCACTTTTTT